TAATGCCTTATGGTTTTAGAATGTTTCTCAAATTTTGATCCGCAGTACCAACAATATAAAATTCATCAATACTATCTACAGTACTGTCCGCATCAATTTGATTTATCTTTTCTGTGAGTGCACGTGCCTTGAATCTTGTTATAACTCCTTTTGAAGATATTGTTGATTTTCAACTCATTATTGTTGTTGTATTTTCCGACACTTTGCTGTCTGTCAATTTTGATTTAATCTTTTTCAGTTTTTTATCTTTAATATGTTCAATCATCTGTGTTTGTAAATTATGAAATATTTTTCCAACGTATGATTCGGCGCACAAAGAACATTTCGCTTTCTAAATTGAACGAAACAAATTTCACATCATCGGATATAGGATGTGTCGTAGTAAAACGTTGTGCACCGTAAGTATGTATTCCTCATGATCAGAGAAACATTTCTATATATTCTGCTTTTAAAACATTAGAGAATTGTCTCCTCTATTTCGGAATCTAAAATTCCCTTTTATCACTTGAAAAATGGCTGAGAAAATCGTAAAAAAAAATGGATGAAAAAAAAAATTATAGTGTAGCTCGTTAAATACAAATGTTAACCAATATGAACATTATACAGTCAACCATTCATTAAATTTTGTGGATCCAGAAACAGCGGTGCACACACAAAATGCGGAAAATATGTGGATGTGTGCGAAAAGAAAAAAGAAGAGTATGATGGGTATGTCGGTGACACTCCTACAAACGTATCCTACAGGATTCATGTGGCGACGAAAATTTGGGGACCGACCTTTTGAAAATCTGGTAAAACAAATTAAAGAACTGTATCCGACTGAAGTAAGTTAAAATTTTGTACTTTTTGTTTTGGTTTATCTTTCTATGTTTCTTATTGTTTTTCTTCCTTTATGTTTTCTATTGTTTTTCTTCATTTTTTTATGATGTTCGTTTTATGTCTCTGTTCGTCTTTTGTACATAGCAAATGTTCTTTATTATTTATTATTTAACCCGTTCACTAGTTGTAATTAACTGGAATCTGTCAGTGTTATCTATTATAGCTTTCTATAACTAGAGTCATCTATTACTTGCGTTCATAATTCCTTCTTTTGTTTATCCAATGATATATATATTTCAATCAATAATTTTTTTTTCTTGTTACGGAATAAATAAAGATCGAAACGGTAAAAACATTCACAGTGTTTTCGCTTGTAGAATGTATTAGGAATCAATATAGCGGCATGAAGCAAAAATAGACCGAAAGTTGTCTATTTTTTCCTCTATCGGTTACTAAAAACCCCAGGTCTTTCATGTCATCTTCAAATTATTCAAAAAGCAATCATCCGCTTATATTTTGGGATGCATAATAGTTTTTGAATAAAGCCGACTTTATTACGGTTGAGTAGCACTAATCAATGATGATTAGTATGAATTAATCATAAAAAGGAAGGAATATAACGTTTTTTTTGTGATTCTAGATATGTTCAGTAAACATTTCTCTTTCGCTCTCGTTTGAATTAGATTTTTATGATCAGAAGCCATCGAATGGGAAATGTTTAAAAAGAAGATGCTAAGTTCGAAATCTGACATGAATTTTTGAAGTATTAATAATTAATTGTATTCTCAATGAGATAATGCCTGCAAGCCTAAAAAACTTTAGGATATATGTTTCAAAGTGGCATCTATTACCAAAAATGAAAAAGTTTTTTAATACATATAATTCTACAAATCCAAATCTATGAGCACGTTAACTTTAGGTTATTTTTCGTTTTACAAATAAAGTTCATGTTCAGCAGAACATTCAAGGCAAAGGCTTAAAAGGAAGGTTAAACGTTTTCAGACCTACACTATATTTTCTGACAGACAGTACTTACTATGTGCAAGATCCTATTTCGTTTGTTCAGTAAAAAGAGAAACCGATCAGCCAACTTAATTTAGGTATAGCATTACACACGTAGCTTATCGATTTTTGTTCAATATATGATACTTTTCAATTCTCACCTAGAGGGTGCGCTCAAATATGTTCCCTTGTTAATCGTTTTAAAATATCTTTTATAGCAGGCTATACTCTAAACTCAAATGTGAACTTGCAAGAAATTGAGAGTAGATCGACCTTACCTACTTGTTATAAACTTTTATTTAAGGGAAGGAAGTGTGAAAAACTTCAGTACAAATAATGAAAAGAAGGAGGCGAACCTATTACATCTTTACATATTGACTGAGGACAAAAGACAGGACAAGAGTACATGATAAGAACGATACACAACGACAACAAAAAAAAAAGACAAAGAAAAGGCAACTAAAGAAGTAAAGAGAGAGAGAAAGGAGAAAAGAGTGGTAATAATAACAAAGAAGAAATGAACTAGTGGGGAAATTCAAATTTAAAATCTTTGTGTGTCTCTAATAAAACTTATTACAATCTTATATAACTCATTCATCTCTGTTTCATTTATGAAAGGTACAGGTTTTTGAAAAAGTATGTGTTCTAGAGAAAGAGGAGCGTTTACCAGAGCATTCAGGTCGTTTTGAAAAGCTGTTCTGCATCGCTGGTTATTTTGACAGTCCAAAAAGAAATGTTGCACTGTCTAGTCTTTTCCACAATTCCAGTGCGAGCTGGTAACTAAACTTTTTTATAAAGGTCATCATTCAGTCAGGAAAAATTCACTCGCATTTGGTTGAATAACATGTCATATTTTCTGTCTATGTTTTTAAATCTAGGCCATTTATACCAAGGAAAAAAGTGAGCGTTTATTGCAGAACGAAATGTTTTTAAAACTAAAATTGTAGTGAGAGCAGTAGGTAGGGCATTCCATTGCTTAATTATCCATGGAAAAAATGTTGTGTCAAACTTAACTTTATAAGTATGGTATGTGTTCATACGATTGTTAGAAGCAGATCGCAGAGTCATAGTTGTTGTTGCTCCTAACGTGAGTATTCTATCAACTAGAAAAGGTGGAGTAAGGCCTCTAAATATTTTGAATAGTAGTAATATTTTATGCATTGCAAAGAGATGTTTAAGTGATAGCCATCCTAGTATGTTAAGGACTTTATCTCGTGAACTGAGACGCATAGCACCCTCACAGTCAGTACAGCATCGTACTGTAGCTTTGCAATTGGTTTTAAGTAAGCTAATACAGTAGGCAAAGGAGTATTTGCAGTTTGAATTTCTTTCGCACATGCATAAATTACATCTGCATAACTTATCACTGGCAAAATATACGATTTGTAGATCTGGTCGAGTGTAGTCGTACTTAAAATATTTTTGAAACAGCGCATTAGGTATAATGTATATTTACACTTTTTTTTGTATATCATATGAAGGTAAAAGTAAAAGAAGATCCTGTTTTCTTCCTTTTTGCTGTTTGTTTGTTGTTGCTGTTTATGAATTGTTTTCTATCAAACTAATGTGCTCTGAGTGAAAAATAAAGTTTTGAGAAATGTGATGGTATATAGTTCATTTTTCAATAGAATGCACTACTTCTACCTCAATTTAAAAATAGTCAGTCTTGTCGAGAATCGTTTACTCTACACCTGAATTAAAAGTGTTGCAGTGAAATATGATTTCGTCGCATACGCAATAGGTTACTACAAAATGTTAGATTTTTGAATTTTGAAAACGTAGTAATTTGATTTTCTTTGCACAACAGCTAACAGTTTGAAAACTGAAAAGACATCACCTTTGTTCAGTTTTCTTCGCTCTATTATTCCATATATGATTTAGAATTTTAAAAGACAGAACAGAACAAAACAGCACTAAAGAAAAAAGTCCATTTTTCTGTCTTTTTGATGGAGCTTATTTTTCAGACTCTCTCGTAAATTGACTTTGTTGAAACGGACAATGACAAAAACAATCACTGATTTTCTTCCACTACAAAAACTACATGAATTTTTTGGATAGACAGCAAGGAAGCATTCCTGCATTAGGGGTTACATACAGCACTCTGATCCAGTCGTATTTCCTGCTTAGTTGAATGAGGCAGGATGGTTTCAAGTTGGAAAGCAGTCTCATGGAAAATTATGAGAGAAAAACTACGTATTTTCAAATAACACTTTCACACAGAAAGAAGTAAACATTTTTTGCTATATGTCAGTAAATAATTTCCCATTGTCAGCGCTACCACTTTTTAAATGAATGCTGCTTTCTACTATCATCGCCAAAATATAATGTCCGTGGCTATTTTTTGAATAATTTTTGATAGGAATAAGAGAGAACCATGCAGTTTTCGCCATCGTGTTGTTAAGACCTTAGGACATGTTTTCGTAAGCAGCAACTTGTTTCAAAATTTTCCGGAAGTTCAGCTTTCCAGAGGATCTTTGGAAAACCAGCTCCATTCTCAGAAAACTAACAAACAAAGTTAGTAATTTTTTTGAATGCGTTGCATGCTGACTCAATGAAATTTTCAGGAAAGACTTAAAAGACGTTATATATTGTTGATCAAGTCGAAAAACGAGTCCAGCACAACACTGAGACGTTGAGGTTTTCCACAAGGTTTCTGGAAAATCTTAACCCAATACCCGCCTGAAATTCAATTTTTTGTCTTCAGTTATGATTTATGAGCGGCCCTGAGAGTTTCCTGAAAATTTCATTGAGTCAGCATGAGATTTGACCGAGATATAAGGATTTTAATTTTGGCTGATGACAGGCGAAAAACCGGTTTTCCACAAAAATGCCTCTGGCGAAGTTATTTTTATTTCTACACAAAAACAAATGTTTCCACGATGCTCAGCGTAGTCGATTATCTATGTTCTATGACATTTTGAGATTCCCAGAGACGTTTACTCGGAGATAGACACGCGCTCGAGGAAAGCGAGCCCTGTCCGAATGATGATAGCTGGAGACCTAGAACTTGCATAGTTTTGTAGAGTACCGTCCGGAATGCAAAAAGATTACTAACTTTGTATGTTAGTTTTCTGAGAATGGAGCTGGTTTTCCAAAGATCCTCTGAAAAGCTGAACTTCCGGAAAATTTTGAAACAAGTTGCTGCTTACGAAAACATGTCCCAAGGTTTTAGCAACACGATGGTGAAAACCGCATGGTTCTCTCTTATTCCTATCAAAAATTATTCAAAAAATAGCCACGGACATTATATTTTGGCGACGATAGTAGTAACAATATTTCCTTTTAAAAGTATTGGATTCCTATTCTATTTAGGTAGAGGTGCAAGCGGTATGGTGTATCAAACTGAGTATCAAAATATTCAATATGCCATTAAAATTTCAAATAAAAACTCAATAAAAGAATATGAAATAGCAGAAGAAATGAAAAGTTATATTAATGAACATATATTAGATGTTAAAATAATGAATATGTTTAGTGTGCAAAGTTTCATTTTATCGAGACCGGTTGGACAAATAGTGAAAAAGGATCAGATACGTCAAAAGAGATATATTACTCAGCTATTAACGCAATTAGCAATTGGTCATAAACTTGGACATGTTCCTAGAGACATCGGAATGTATAATTTAATATTGTTTAATTATGAGTATGTATATGTAATAGATCGGAACTCATCAACATATAATGGTTTAATGGTGAATATGAAGGAGCATTTATAACCGCATCAACACCTGTATTGATTGAATATGAGTCGTCACGCGGTCAGAAAGTTTCGGCTTATTACGCTGATGATTGTGTATCAGTCACCTATATGTTATTATTATCCTTTTGTACAAAAGAAGAAGAAAATTCGTTAAAAGAATGCGCACGTGATAGTCTTGCTGGCCGTTTAATCGTTAAACGTCCAGAATTTTTACGAGTTCACCCTAAAGAAGTTATTGATTCACTATATGACATTGAACGTGAACGTGTTAGTTTAATGAATATAGATGATTTACATAACTGATGTCAACAAATAATTGAAATAATGTATAACATTGGTTTAGTTTTATAATGAGACTTTTTGTCAACCAATTTTGTTTTTTTACATATGCAATAGGTTTTTGTTCGTGCTTTTCATTTTTGTTGTTCATGATAAAAGTAAATAGTATGAAAGTATGCATTGCACAACTTCAATCATTGTGCAGAATTGCAGATCGTCGTTTGCAGTTTAAAAAATTATTTAGGTTTATTATGAATATATTTTGAAATCTTCTGGTACATGTCATTTCAGTTGAACAGTATCCCTTATTTTTATCGCTATAAAAACTTGCATACAGACCTTTGGAAAGCTAGTCAAGCATTTCTCGGTAACTATTCGTTCCTTCTTTTGGCGTTCTTACTTTTTTTGAAACAGACTACTACGGCAGCTTTTTTTCACGGGACACAGCCATTTAGCCATAGTAAATTTGCTTTATAAATATATTCTCTCCGGTTACGGAATATTTCCATGTATCCTGTCATATGCTTGTTGTTATGGGCAATCGAACACCGCGCTCGTTGGTTTATTGCCGAATGTGTTATTGGCTAAAGGGACCCCTGTAAATTCTGTGCGTATTTAGAGCTTCTTCCACTCAAGTTGAATTTGTAATTTTTAATGAGGGTGAGGATGAGTCTTTTTTTTCTCAAGATCTCGACAAAAAAACTAAAACATAATTGGTCTACACTAGACCACAAAAAGATACACTATGATCGAAAATAAAAGTTGATTACAAGTAACAATTGTATATAATAAAAGTAGTTAAAGTTCGGGAACGTTCCTTAGCAATTATTGCTTTTCGATAGAAAAAGAAGATTGTTAACAATTTTGACTTGAATCTCTCCTCTAAATAATTTCTACGCTTAAAGTATGAATGTTGAAATGTAGGAAGGATGGGAGTGATGGATGTTTTCTATACATGAAGAACAATCAATTCAGAGTACAGCATCTTTACTCTTTCTGTTATGTGGAATGTGCGCACAAAGAGTCACAATTGTATAAAATGCTATTTCATTTTACATGTTAGACGCTTATAACTGGTCTAACATTGACACACCCCTCAGAAATCATGATTTTGTATCAAAAAATCAATTTGAAGACACGCATATGGGAAGATAGTCTGCAGTGTCTACTTTAAGAATCTGTATCGCTTGCTTAGAAGTAATCACGATTCTACATCCAAGACTTTTTCTTCACTTTTTAAATGCCAAAAGTTCGCAATTTAATTGTTCAAGTACCTAGAGCCATCGAATAGTAAAGAAAATACAGAACTTATTCGATTCTTCGAAATTTCTTCTGTCGACCAGAAAATTTTTGGAGAAAAAAGGATGGGATTTGCACAACATGACATACATTGAAAGACCACATGGTTTTTCGAAAAACTACGTCAGTTTACAGCACAGAAATTTCTTTCAAACGATAATCTTATAGAATAGACTTTCCTCTTTAAGATAAATGGTCAGAAGTCCTTAGATTTGTATATGCACTGTAAAAATAAAGTATGTAAATGATCCACATAATGTGAACGCCAAGTCAATTCCCAAGGGCCGTCCAGAATGCAGTGTGTGTAAAGTACACATTGAGAAGTAACCGTCTGGCTCTACATACTGAGACCAATGATATAATCTACTTAAGCTTACTCACACGAACACTTAACGTTTTATTAATGGTTATCACATAGTGTCACTATTAATAGGAAGTAAAGAAATAAATAAAAAAAAGGAAGAGGGTGTTCATTCTGTTCATTCACTTAATGCAGAAAAAATGTCTAAAACTTGTTTATTTTTTTGTGTCATATTGCATCATGAATAGATAAGCGATCATAACGTAATTTAACAATCAGTTCCCGTTATTTTTTATTTTTTTGAACATATAGCGTGCGACACACAGAACCATCAGTTCATAAATCCTCTGAGATTATAACGACGATAAAAAGAAGAGGAAAAAATAACCGTTTTCAGGAACATGTCAAAGTGTGTTGTTCTAACTGATCATCTAAGTGGATTTTAGTAGCTATGTACGTTATATAAACCAGAGATCATCATGTCACCAAATAAAACGCTTATAACGATCTATGACACTACAATCAATTGTAAAATGAACAATGTGAAAATGATCGAGCTCTGATTTATACACTCTACATCTACCTAAAACAAACGTTTTACGTTACCAGAAAAGATTAACGATGTGTAGTGCGATTTATTTAATAATCTGTTAATAATCCGGATTTTATCACGTAGCCCATGCAGTATGAAGAGATTTATTTAACATCGAACTATAAGTCCTACAATTCATTCTCTCTCATTGAAAACAAATTGCTCTTTGATCGATTAAAAAGAGTCTATATTTTACAGAAACAAGACCAGTTGCTGCATCGGCTACTCTCTTCACTAGGTGATAATTCTTTTTAATTTAGTGAGTAACACTAATTAATGAGACCACGTACCATAAACCCTGTCAAGTAGCTCAATAATTAAAAAAATTGTGATCAGCAGCTGATAACACTAGTTTTTAATAATTTCAATCAATTGAAATAGTTACATAATTCATAATTTCTGTACCTCAACTCTGTAGCGGTCTCTTCGATTTATCTGTATGAATACTATTTGTAAAAGCTCACTTGTTTTCTCCAAAATAATGCACATATATTTCTGTCTTGCTACTTAGAGCATTCTATATTGCCGTAACATTATACATTGACAACTGTCCGAACATCGTCTGAAAACGCGAATTTTTGATTCTTCCAATTCCTAGATTCTTCTAATTGCAAAAAATTGTTGAACATGAGGATTGTCTTACTTGAACTTGACCTCTGACTGTACTACTACGCCGTGTCCACGTGCTCAACATTTTTGGTGACTATTCTATACGTTTCTGACAGATGATGAGTATGCCTGAAAATTCGAAAAACGGAACTTAGTCTAATAATACTAATTCTAAGAATGGATACCAACTTTTATTGAATACAACGCCGACTGCTAAACTCTTATTCATTAAATAGACAACTGGTAGAAATCTGGAAAAATTCGGAAAGAAATTCGTTTGCTGTCAGTAGACGGCGCCAAAGACCAACCAACGCCGAAATGCTAGATTAAGAGAGGCTTCACGAGCCCATCGAGAATTGTAGTGGAATGCTCGAAATTAACATACATGTTTTTTCATATTTTTGGATTCTACGATCAAAAGTGGGGTTATGAAAAATTTTTTAGCCCGTTTGA